ATAATGTCTTTCTATGGAAACTGAAAAGCTTTTTTCATACGAAAAATTTGACAGGTTGAATGAATTACCTGAGGGTGATGCTCCAGCACTACTGGGACCTGCTCCACCAAATGCTTTCCTAGTTGAAGTTCCTCCAAGAGCTGGAAATAATACATTTGAATTGATTAACACTTTACAGAATTACATTAATAACAAGCATTTGATAGTATTGCGGGCAATACAGCAGTCCCCTACCGGTCCCTCAAAAAGTTCTTTAATTGTCATACACTCCTGTGTATTGCCATTTATAATGAATTTGAGGATGAAGTCTGTATTTGAAAATATCGACCACAAAACATAATAAAATAAGTTTTTTTGTCTATATCACAGTAATGTGTTAAGTTTCCATGCTTAGTAAGAAAATTATGTTTATACAACCTTGTCATATTATTACGATGTGGGATTTTAAAGTAAATCCTATAAGGAATGAAGAAGTTGGAGTGAAAATACCAGTTTCTCGAAACAAATCTAAGTTCAAGGGGGACATAATTCTGGAAATAGTCTTGCTCGAGTATTTAACCTTCTCAAAAATGTCGAGTGATAATAAGAAACATATATATGAAGTTTGAAGTAGATACATTAGGAAATAAAGAAGTTATTTAAAAAAGACAACATTTTTTCCCCTAAAAAATCTAAGTTCAAGGGAGGTAATACTGATATTTTTTGTGCTAGAGTTATAAACCTTGTCACATATGATGTGGTTGATGACCAGAAACTTATATTTAAAGTTTGAAGTAAACACCTTAAGAAATAAAGAACATATAGTGAAAAAGCTGAAAAATTTAAATCAGAAATCTTGAAATTCAGGCTATTTGTTGCCATAGCAACCAGAATTTTCAACATAGGAAGAAAGAAAAAGATGTGCATAATCTCCAGACTGCCATCTACCCATATTTCAAGTTTCATAAAAATATTTTCAGTACTTTTTGAGTTATCACTTGATCCAGTTTATGTGTTAAAATTTGCCATATTTTCAGACTATTTGTTGCCATAGCAACCAGAATTTTCAACATAGGAAGAAAAAAAAAGACGTGCATAATCTCCATACTGCCATCTATCAAGTTTCATAAAAATATTTTCAGAACTTTTTGCGTTATCGCGGGATCCAGTTTTGTGGACGGACGGACTGACGGACTGACAGACGGACAGACAGACAGACGGACGGAGGGTAAACCTAAAGTCCCCTCCGGTTAAACCGGTAGGGGACTAATAAACAAGAGCCCCTTTTGTCAGAGTTTGTTTGTTTGGATTTTTACGGCATGCCAACACATATCTGGCCATATTGTGCTGAATTTTTGTCAGAGAATAATGCATCAATGTATAAGGCATATGCTTTCTGATACAAAATGTTAAAATGTGAGAGAATTAATTACAAAATCAGAACGTGTTTAAAAGCCACAAATGCTCTAACATTCCTCTCTCTTGTCAGTCTACAGATTGACAACTGCCACAGACAAAGTTAAATCTACGATATATGCCACACACATCCGCATGGTTTTCAACCAGTTGTCACTCAGACTGCAGCTTTTTTTATACAGTTACAGGGCTGATTGTTGTATCGTTGTATGTATATCATAATGTCAAGTATAACTAGACCTATCACTGAAGGTGATTAATACCCCCACCAGCAACTTTGACTTTTTGAAAAAAACGTAGTCTGAAGAAAAATTTGAACACAAACTATCAACTGGTGAAAATGCCCGATTGGGCTTAAGGCATAAAATATCTTATTTCTAGAAAAATGATTAATATGTTTCCTTTTCACTTGTTTTGTTTATTAAGCATTTATATATGATACAAATAAAATTGAAAATATTTTGGTTATCTTTTATTTTCTTAGAATTATTTCCCTTTTCCCCATTTTCTGGAAACAAAATATTTAAAGTTCATAAAAATTATATTGTAATATAAAATTCTTAATAGAAATGTGTCCAACAACTTCATTTTGCTCTAGATTATTGCGCCAGTACCTTTATTTTATATATTTGGATTAAATACAGTGTTCCCATTTACGCACATATGTGCGTATTTTACGCATAAATTCCAAAATTCACGTACAGAAATTTAGACAAGAGGGTAAAAATACGCACAGAAAGTCAGGAACTTAATCATGTATAATTCAAAAATTATTCTTTTGAACAATTTCTCATACAAAAATCACTTCAAAGCATTGAAATTGATGAAATGTGAGAAAATCTCCCAATTCACAATGAAAGTTTACAGGACCCCCCTTGGGAATTATTGCCGTAAATTACAAATTTGAAATTTTTGTTTTACGATTGCCTTGTAAGTATAGCCAATGAAAACAATCTTGAAATATTAAAAAAATATTAATTCTAATATAATTGTAATCAGCAGCAACTGGAATTGTGAATGTTTCTGCAGAAAACAGACAAATTTTCATTTGTCACATATTTTCGCGATGCGATTTTGTTAAATAAAAACATCACCAAAAAGGAAGCTTTGTTTTGTTCAAAGGTGTGGTGTAAACAATTTTATATGCTGTTTATAAATTAAAATAACTTAAAATATAGTTACATTAATTGAGATGGGGATATATGCCCAGTATGTGTTGGTCACAATGAATTTTACCTAAGGGGGGGGGGGGGTGTGGAGTGAATATTATTGTACAAATTTTATGTACCCCCTGAATTTTTATTTTACCCCCAGTTTTCAAAGGTAAGGGGTAAAAATACTCTCAATGAAAAATAGAAGTGGGAACACTGTAAATAGTCTGTTTCTGGCATTTATATTTTGAAAATTCTTTGACACTGAACATTAAACTTTGAAGTTTTCTCTGAAAACTGAATGAAATGTATGCTGACAGGTGTTGACCAAATGAATTAGAGCATAATAAGTTATTTAACCTATTTTGTTTTACACTTTGTGCATATGTAGTTCTGGCTTCCATAACTTTATATGTCGCTTTTATTTTGACGTTGCGACAGTAAAGTTATGGGTCAACCCTATTTGCAAAGGCTACCAGAATTTGACAGTTAGTGCGCCGTACATAAAAACCTACTAAAATCACCTTATTAATCAAATTTGGGTCAATAAAATATCATTTGATAAACAAATCAATTTGAACCAATTCATGTTTTGTTTTTAAATGAAACTTCAATGACATTGTGTACCCAACTATTTTAGAGAAATATGTAGAGGATGTTTACCAAATGGAGTCTGCTTTCAATGAGACGCGGACTTCATGTTTTGGAATTCTAGCATCTATTTTTAGTCTATTTTTAGTAAGTGTATGAATCATCAGTCAAAACAATATAAAATCCAACATGTTTTTGGTACTATGTCTGTTATTGAATAAATACACCATTATTCATAATTGCAATGCCATGTTTTCAATTAAAAATAGCATTTGGGTCACGTGTCACAAAATGTTATGCAAAGGTATCCGAACCTAAATTCTCGCTGGTCACGTGATAATTAGGGCAGCAATGGCGGTGAATTTTATGAAATGTGAACCCGCTGATAAACTTTGAGGCAATATTTCATAAATCTAACATTCTGTGTTCAAAAATATAGACTGAAGGGTCCCAAATATATCTAACTACCTGTATTAAAATAGTTTTTGTCCTGATCACGCAAATTTATTGAATTACAGCATGACATAAAAATGTCACGGGTCTGGTTGACTTTCGATACGGGGTTGGCTTCAGCGAACAGGTCTAGCAATACAATAAAACCTGTTCGCTGAAGTATCTTTAGCTAGTGCATATGTAACATATTTTTATAGGACTTCTAAATTAATGTGATATAAAAACATGAAAAAGGGGAACTATTCTCACAAAAGTGACAGTAGCCAAATATTTTTCTTTCTGTTTATTTCAAATATTATTCTTAATAAACAAACAAACTTTAAAAGAAATATATTTATTACTTTCCTAGAAATATGATTTTTTATGTCATAAGCCCAATAGGGCATTTTCACCAGCCTGTATATGAATACATACAATTGTCCGAAAAGATACAAAGGCTTTTTATAAAAATGTTTTATCGAGTAAATCACTTGATTGCTTGATTATTATGAATGCATAAAATTGTCACAATAAAAGGCAAAAACCCTTCAGTATTTATGGAGATAACAGCTTACACAAAGAATTTCCAAGTCGAAAAAGGGACATAATTATGCAAAAAAGTAAATCAAAGAGTAGTTATGGAGATACCAGCTTACAGTATACATGCAAAAACTTAACCACAGGGATGCCGACAAAATAATGGTGACTGCATTAGCTCAATTTTTCTGCGAATAGTCGTGCTAAAATCCCAAAAAGCATTCTGGAACGGGATGATCCTGGCATCCTGCATCTATTTCACTTTGTCAGCAGTTTAGTGGTGTTTTGGTATCATTATACTGCTGGCTAAATAAATGCTTAAAGGGAAGATACACGATTCTTTTACTGTATAGGTAAGATGCCAACAAACCAAATCATATAAATATGTTCTGACTGGCCAGAAGATTGTTTTTACAACAGAACACACAAATTTTGCGCCTGCAAACTTTACTTTACAGTAACAGTTGTCTATTGGAATTAAAATGGGATTTATCTAAAAAAAATCCATGTGGAAATTTTACCAAAATATATTTATGATTGCTAAAGTCGTAAAGATGGTCCAGTCAAATCAATGTTACTGCCAATACTGGAGTTGACAAGGCAAGCAAGCACGCGAAGAAATTTTACACACACGGTTACCTGGTAAAGTTGTGCTACTCTTTAAATAAAGATTCCGTTTCATTATATATTTTCAATTTATTTTGATTCAACGACCACATACCTTTCCTTGATCCACCAGCGTCGGCTTTTGTTCGTACCATGTTTCTCTTTTTCTTTTCTTCTTTCTCTCCTTTTCCCGCGCTTTTACGGTTACAGCGTGTAAATTTTACGTCGTATTATTTACAATTGTTTATGTGACGTTTACTTCCTCTTTTCTGTGTATCTTATAAAATCTGATGAAATTTTAGTTATATGCAGTTTACTTTAGACGAAACTTAGTTATGGAGCCAATTAGTTTGATAATCTTTGGTGTGATTTTATTGGTGATTTACTTTTTATGGGGAAGGCAGAAGAGACAGTCCACTACATCAGGTAACCAGGGGCAATTTTTTGACCAAAGCAAGATGAAAAATAATTCTATATATCGGATGTACATGGGAGGTGAGACTTTTGCGATCACAATGTCTTCTCAGAATTTTAACGAGGCATGTGTTTTAATTAAAAGTTTTTGCTATTGTACTCTATTAAAGTAACAGAACTTAAATGGTCAAAAATAATTTTGCAGATTGGTAGAGGCTTGTCTAAACTGATCATGTAGGTAGAGGCTTGTCTAAACTGATCATGGATAGAGTCTTGTCTAAACTGATCGTATAGGTAAAGGCTTGTCAAAACTGATCGTGGATAGAAGCTTGTCTAAACTGATCGTGTAGGTAGAGACTTGTCTAAACTGATCGTGGATAGAAGCTTGTCTAAACTGAGCGTGTAGGTAGAGGCTTGTCTAAACTGATCGTGGATAGAGGCTTGTCTAAACTGATCGTGGATAGAGGCTTGTCTAAACTGAGCGTGTAGGTAGAGGCTTGTCTAAACTGAGCGTGTAGGTAGAGGCTTGCCTTAACTGATCATGTAGGTAGAGGCTTGTCTAAACTGATCCTATAGGTAGAGGCTTGCCTAAACCAGTGATATTTCTACTTATATAACAGACTCCGAAAAAAGGCCTCTTCCCAATTGAAATTTTCTTTAAAATCATGCAGTTTTCCCAAAAATATGAACTTAAACCAGCTTTTTTACTTCCCAAATCAGCAATTTTAGAGATAGTTTTTCCCAAAATCAAGAGGCTAAGGCCTCTTCCCAATTTAGTGAGAAAAATCACTGCTAAACTGAGCGTGTAGGTAGAGGCTTGTCTAAACTGATCGTGGTTAGAGGCTTGTCTAAACTGATCGTGGATAGAGGCTTGTCTAAACTGAGCGTGTAGTTAGAGGCTTGTCTAAACTAATCATGTAGGTAGAGGCTTGTCTAAACTGAGTGTGTAGGTAGAGGCTTGTCTAAACTGAGCGTGTAGGTAGAGGCTTGTCTACACTGAGCGTGTAGGTAGAGGCTTGTCTAAACTGAGCGTGTAGGTAGAGGCTTGTCTACACTGATCGAGGATAGAGGCTTTCCTAAACTGATAGAGGCTTGTCTAATCTGATCTAGGGTAGAGGTAAACTGATAGAGGCTTGTCTAATCTGATCATGGGTAAAGGCTTGTCTGAATTGATCGTGGATAGAGGCTTTCCTTAACTGATTGTGGATAAAGGCTTGTCTAAACTGATCATGGGTAGAGGCTTGCCTAAACTGATTGTGGATAGACTCTATCTCTATTAGAGGTTTGCTTAAAACTGATCGTTGATAGAGGCTTGTCTTGACTGAATGTGGGTAGAGGCTTGCCTAAAATGATTCTGGGTTTAAGCTTGCCAAAACTGATAATGGATAGAGGTTTGTACATTGTTTGCCGAAGAAACATTTAAAAGTATGATGATGGTTGTTGGGTTTGAAAGACTAATTAAATTTGTTACATGGAGTATTGACTTGTTTGTAAGAAAAGGGGATGCAGTTGTGTCAATTAAACTGTATACTAAAATAATATGCACATCCTCTGACTGAACTATACATAAATGTTTGCTTGTATTTTGAATTATGGTACATGTATATTTCAGGGACACATTCAGGAAAAATATTTGATAAATTTACCAACATAGAAGATGTTACTGATGCTATTAGAAAAGCTGGTCTGGAATCTAGCAATCTTATATTTGGTAAATGCATAGTTTTTTTTTCTATACCCTACTTAAAATTATATGTATATTTTTATTGTCTTAAAGGTTTATAATTATTCTGGATGAAATGAAATTCATGACTCAACATTTCTTACAAGCAGAAAAACAGGGGCGTCCGTGGCCGAGTGGTTTTAGGGTTGTTGACTTCAACCACTTGCCCCTCACCGGTGTGGGTTCGAATCCCTACAGGGACTTTGGATTCTTTCATGTGAGGAAGCTAGCCAGTTAGTTTATGGAACGTCATATGGTTCTACTCGGGTGCCCTTTCGTGCCTGAAATAATGCATGGAAGGGCACCTGAGGTCTTCCTCTACCAAAAAAGCTGGAACATGGCCAAATGACCTATACTGTGTCGATGTGACGTAAAACCCAATCAAACAAACAAACAAACAGAAAACATTTAAGTATTTAAGATAAATGCTCCCATTTCACCCTTATCTCACTAGTTTTTTTTTATCTACATAAATGAGATATGTTTTTGTACCTCCACTTGACTTAGAGTGGGGGGGATATAGATTTTCTGTCAGACTATCTGTACATAAAGTGACAAATCAGTGTAATGTGGGGGGATTACTGTATGTTTCCATTTGACAGATTTCTAGTTTGAAGGGAATAATGTTTTTCGCTATTTTCATATAAGTTCTTTTTTATCTTACAGGTATAGATTTTACAGCCAGTAATGTTCATCAGGGGATAAAGACAAATGGTGGCAGGTCCCTACATCATATAGATATGCTGAATCCAAATCCTTATCAGAGGGTAATGCCAGCATAAGTATATAATAACCAAATTATTATTGTGACAAATTATGGTATATAAAGTCTTTGCATTACACCATGTTTCTGTATACCATTTGTTTCCATATGCTAGGGGGCGTGAGGGCTGTTGCACTAGTTCAATATCCCTCATGTATAGACTCAATCAAACTGAGTCTGCAATTTTCATGTAATTTTTCTGTTTTTAATGTTTCTGAGGGATCACTTTTTTCCAAATATTTAGAACAACTTCAATGATTTAAATATCATTTTTCTTCCTTCTGGCCTATATTATTATTATTATTATTATTATTATATGTAAGCAACAAAAGAAAGTGCTGCTGATGTGGTGCTTTGTGAAATAAGTATTTAAGAGGATGATGCTGTGACAAATTCATACTATCTGCATGGTATCTTTAAAATTGACAGAAATGTTTACTAGTAGTTGCATATACATCTTTATTTCATTTTCTTTATTTGTCTGTAAT